ATGTGAAGGTGTAAAATGTTATAAGGGAAGTCTTGAGAAAGATCAAAAGGAAGTTATATTTAAAATATGGTTTGGGGAAACAATTTGAAAGAGAAGGCAGAAGCATTCACAAAAATTGATAACAAATAAAAAACATCAAATAGCGGACATATCACTCCTCCCTCCTTTAACGAAATTTGTCCTCAAATTTATTCTCTTTTCTGATAGCATTTCTTCTCTGAAGTTTTGACATGTTGTAATGCTGTTCTCATATAAGGCAAATCAAAGCAACCAATACCAACAAGTATGGGTTAACCGCTCCAATTTTGGGATTCGAATTCTCAAATCGCGTACGATTTGGCAAACGATTCTCATAATTATCTCGTTTTTGTTTTCTCCAATTTTCTCGTTCACTATCTCTAGAATTGCTTGAATCACTATCAGAATTTCTACTCCTATATCTTCCATATGAATTCCTGGATTTTTGCTGATCTCTATTTCCATAATGTTGTTCGTATTCTCTATAATTTTGATGACTAGTTTCTCCATAATTAGATCTCTCATTATATTGAGGCTGATAATACCTCGAGCTATAATACGACCTTCGAGGTTCCCTACAAAATCTAGAGATGTGACCTTGAACCCCACAATTATAACAAGTTCTAGTTTCACGATGTTCATTCCGAATTGTATAAGCTTCAACTTTTTCAGAGCAACTTGCAACAGAATAAGCATTTCTTCGCGAAGCGAGCAGTAACTCATAATTTAAAGCGATTTCATATGCATTTGCGTAATCTTGGGGTCTCTGAGCTTTTACTTCAAACTGAAGCTCAGGTATCAATCTATCTAGAAATTCATCTAATAATCTCTTTTTAATCGTTTCCTCATCATCTCCTGATAGAGCTGTACGTACAGTATCGGAAAGACGGTTGGCAAATTCAAATACCGATTCTCCTGGCGCATGTCTACAGTTAGACAATAATTGGCGCGCAATAACTTTACTATTTCCATTTTCATATTTTCCTTTTAAATAAGCTATTGCCTCCGCTAATGTAACTGGTTGCGGGTTCATGCTATCAAAGGCGATTCGTGCCTGACCGGATAAGCAGAAACGTAAACGCGCAATTTTCTGTGCTTCATTTGGCTCGGTCATCAAAGATAAAACATCTTTAAACTTCTCTACCCATTTTGTAAAAGACACTGTAGGATTGCCATCAAAAGAACCTACAAATACTCCATTCCCTAAGAACGGGTCCATAGTCATAATTTCCTGGTAATTTTCTTGACTATTTACCAAATCATCTGCTTCATTTGAATCATTAACTAAACTATTTTCAAATTCTTCTTCCTCTATATCTTCAGTATTTCCACTCAAATTTTCAAACTTCCCCAATTTTGACTGAATATCTTTACGAAAATTATTTAAATAATTACGTACTTTAGTTACGGAACCTTTAGTTGCTGTTAAACTATCCTTATTCTTTTTTATATTTTTTTCAATAATCTCTAATCTTCCTTCAACTTTTCGGAAGCTTTTTGCTACCGAGCGTTCAAAGGAGCGCAGTTGAACAAGAATAGTACTTAAATTTTTCTTTTCCTCTGAACTAAAATGTTCAGGTGCAAAATCAGATGCAGACATTTTTTCAATTTATTTCTTCTTTTTTTTTTATTCTTTTTAAATTCTCCGTCTAGTTCTAAAAACTAGTCGAGTCGTGGCACCAATATTATGTCCCCGGATTTAATATATATATCTCAATTTATTCTCTCAAACAATATTCTAACAACTATCTTTATTATTCAGTTTAGTTCAAAATAACGCAAATTAGATGAAATTACAAATGGGTATTTATAGGGTTTTGGAATAGGCGGGAAATAAGGAAATAAGTTTAGCTTACAATTTAGATAAGAAAATTATATATTTGAATGTGAAGGTGTAAAATGTTATAAGGGAAGTTTTGAGAAAGATCAAAAGGAAGTTATATTTAAAATATGGTTTGGGGAAACAATTTGAAAGAGAAGGCAGAAGCATTCACAAAAATTGATAACAAATAAAAAACATCAAATAGCGGACATATCACTACTACACGTTCAAATTTCAAAACTTGAATAATTCCCCTTCCTTGTATGCCACGGATGGGTTGAAAAAATAATTCCACAGGGGAATTAATCGAGTAAATACGGTATATATATATCGTCCATATCAGAGCATGTACCCTCAAACACAATTCTACCTTTTTATTTTCCTTATTAATTTTAGAAATAAAAAAATTAGTGGTTGTAATTATTTTCTGATGATTTTAATTACTTTAACTTTGGATATTTTATTTCAATTATCTCAGTATTTTTTTATTATGCCGTATATTGGAGGAGGTATCGAACCAGTAAATGAAATTAATGATTATTGGAATTTCATCTTAGTTGGATATAATGCTACTGTAAATTTTTTTGCTAATTTTGTTAATAGGGATTCAGAGGCAAAACACCATCTTCCTTACAATATACCGTCCAGAGAAAAATCTGTCGAGATTAGTGTATTTTTTAGGTAACTCCATACTCAAGAATTGAATTTAGATAAGTAGATGACAACCTTCTGAATTGAAAAAGGATTATCAAATTAGTGACTAGTCCAAACAGAATTTTCTTGGTCAGTATTTTGGTCGAATATTGTTCTGCCTGGACTGTGTTTTAGCCTGACACAGTTTACATGTTTAAATTTTTTAAAAATAATCTTTATAAAAAATATTTATTTTCAAGCAAATAGAATTCATCTTTATTCTCCTTTATTATGCTCTACCATATTTAATTGTTCTGATTTGTGCTATAAAAATGATTCGTTATGTAAATGCACATACTGGATATGATAATAACATGAAGAAAATGCTGAAACAACTTACCTTTACTTTAATTTTATTGGTATAATTTATTTTGGTATACTTCCATGATTTCTCCTCATTTCCGTTTTCTTCTTTTACTTTGGCTAAAAAAAAGAAGGATAAAAGTTTAAAAATATCCGCTTAACCGGTTAAATTTTCAAAAAGTCAGGTGCTACATAGCCAAGGATTGCTCTAATATTTTTACTATTTTTAACTTTCAGGCTCTTGTTCCGCTCATTTGCCTAGCAACATCCGTTGTTCCCGCAATCATTTTTGGAGTGTTTTTTTCCACGATAGTAGATTCATTGTTATCCTATTCGTTTCATTTACATTACATACAATACCTTTATTTAATCCAATTATTTCTATATTAACTACTAAACCCTATAGAAGAACTGTATTTTGTAAGTCAAATGAAGTAATTATTACGCCAGTAGTACAAAGATGGGCGGATGGTGTTTAAATGTATTATGTGTTTAATTAATCTGAATTCAAATCTCGATATGATGAACACAAAGTGATTGAAGAAAAATTTGTAAATCATGAAGTTTACCGTGTTTTCTCGATTAATGGTAAATGTCCGGTTGGTGTCCTACATGTCCGCAAAGAGAATGCGCATTTTTCCTTCCTTTTCTTGCATTTTTTTCTGAAAGGAGTGGCGCCCATTTTTCTTTTGTGTATGGTAGTCCTTTGGCATGTCGAAGGAAAGAGGGAAAATAATAAAAATTAATTACTAATAGAGTACAAATATTTTATTTTATAAATGATCAGAGATGAAAAATTTGGGACAACATACTCAAATAGATTTCTAAAACATGGAGGAATCTTAATCCATTAGAAATCTTAATCTGTTCCAGAATGCTTCAATCTGCTGTTTAATTGCACCGTTGACTGGATTCAAAGAATTGATGATGATTTACTGTTTGGTATTGATATCCTAACTGATCTAAACCTAAAGTGAATTAATTCTGTTTGTAAATCAATCTAACATTATTAGTTATAATAATTTTATTAGTATTAAATTAAGTACTCTATTAGTAATTAATTTTTATTATTTTCCCTCTTTCCTTCGACATGCCAAAGGACTACCATACACAAAAGAAAAATGGGCGCCACTCCTTTCAGAAAAAAATGCAAGAAAAGGAAGGAAAAATGCGCATTCTCTTTGCGGACATGTAGGACACCAACCGGACATTTACCTCGATTAATTCCACTGGATAATTATTTTTTCAACCAATCCGTGGCATGGAGAATTATTCACGGGAGGGGAATTAATCGAGTTTTGAAATTTGAACGTGTAGTAGGGTATTTGGAGGAGAAGGATTATTGTTTCAACTCATCCGTAGCAGGGGGAATTATTCAAGGGAGGGGAATTAATCGAGTAAATACGGTAATTAAATTATGTCGATGTTTTTACCAAAAATCCCAAAAAATATTTACAAGTTTATATGCAATTCATTTTTAATAAATTTTAAAATTTCCATAAGAATTTCTCACGCAACAATAAAATTTATTTTTTTATTTAATTAAGAAATATTTTGATTTTGAGAGATTGTGGAAAAATAGTTTCTAAAGTAATTCATCGTGCCGCAACGGATAACGCGTCGGTCTACGGAACCGAAGATTGCGGGTTCGAATCCTTAGCCTTATAAATAAGGTTATTGAATTTTAAATTATTATTAGAGATGGGAATTCTGTACGTACCGTATTCCGTACCGTACTACCGATACGGAATACCGATAAATACCGAAAAATACGGTCGTAATACGGTATAGTCCGATCTCTGATTATTATTCTTGTTAAAAATAAAATAATCCTGTTATTGAACTAAACGCGTGGAAAGGTTTAATATTGTACCTACAAAATTTTTTTTGTTCCATTTATTAAACTAGTAATTTCCACTTTTCCTCCCTTCGTCATTAAATTTTCATTACTAAAAATATTTGCTTTAAATAGGCTCAAAAAATTCTTAAAAGAACAAAGATTTACCCCGTATTTTTAAATATTCTCAACCCCCTCAAAAATTTCTATTTTCTAACAATTTTTTTTTATTTTGGACAGCTCTGTAGTCAGTAATTAATAATAAAAAATAAAGGCAGTAATATATTAATTATAAGGCAAAAATTTTAAAAACAATTATTTTTAAATTTAAGTATCGCAGCTCTGATGAAATTCCATTTTTTTGTCAATATCTGCCGAAACTTCATCAATTTGGGTATTTAATTGGCTTAAAGTTTTTCTATAATTTTCGAGTTCAACCTCCAATGCATCGTTTCTTTGTAATAGAGCTGAAAAATAAAAAATGATTTTTAAATTTTAAATAAAGATTTGAATTAAGCAAGTTATTAAGGAGAAATCGAAACCGAGAAGGCTTCCGTTAAAAATCTCAGATAACGAAATATTCATTGTGGTTTTTCAATTTTTCGTTATATCGATCTAAATTTTAATCGATCTTCAAGCTAGTTTCTCTAAATAAAAGTCTAGTCAGATAATTCTAATTTTCAGTGACTTATAGGAGCCCTAGAGTGACAAAACTTTTCAGGATACAATCAAAATCTCTAACTTTCCTGAAGCCTGGTATTCTTCCTAAAATTACTAGACAGATAATCCCATTGCCCCCTAGACTAACGAAAAGTTAAAAAGATTATTCAGGCTCGGGTTTTGCCAAAAAAATTTTCCAAAACCCTTTTTCTGCTTAATTCTCTAAATAAAAATTCAATTTAATTCAAAGACAAACATTTCTTTTCTTCTTTTGATCTTTTAATTTTTGAAAGTAATTCTGTCGATCTTTTACGTAAATTTTCTGCCCTCTTATTCCTCTCTTCGTTTCCATTTTCTTTTTCTTCTAATAATTTAACTATTTGGGAATATTTTTCCTTTAAAAATTAAATTATTTTTTAATTTTTTATTAATAATTTATTTAAATACTTTTAAATTATTATGTTTATCTTCAATTTCTTTAACTATTTTATTTGCATTATTTGCATTTTGAGAGGCCATTTTTGTTGTTGAAGTTATTTTTATATATTCTGCTTTTAAATGATCTAAAAGAAGAAAAAATAAAATAAGCCTATATAAATACTTTTTTCAGAAAATAGTCAAGTGGCCGCGTGGCGCAACGGATAACGCGTCGGTCTACGGAACCGAAGATTGCAGGTTCGAATCCTGCCGCGGTCGGACAAATTTTTCAACTTATTTTAATTATTTTCTAATTTTTTTTGGGCAAATTTAAAGTCAAAAAAAATTTTTATTAATTAAAAAATTATTTTTTTGGATTATTTTTTATATTTTAAAAAAAGCTGAGAAAGAAAAATTTAAAAATTTACCCGTAACATTTTGTAATTTTTGAAGTCGTTCTAAAGCTTCCTTTGCACGTCCTTCTACTATATTAAAATCACCTTCAGTTTTGGACATTTTTGTTCTTTAATTTTAAATTTAAAAATATTTTTTTTATTTTTACTTTGCATTTTCAATAGCTTCATTTATTTCATTAAGTGTAGATTCAGCACTTGATTGAGCTATTGTTGCATTTTCTAATGCTTCTTTAATAGTCATAGTTATATCTAAAAATTAAAAAATAATTTTTTTATTAAATTTTTTGAAATTTTTTTTGAAAATATTTTTTCATTAAAAATTATTTATTTATTTTAAATACTTTGTATAGTTCCAGCCCTCATACTAGCACTTTCTGCACGTTTTTGAAGATTTAAAGCTGTAGTCTTGTTTCCACGTGTTTCACTCAAAATTTTATCAGTATCTTTGGCTTCTGATACTTTTTGGCGAATCTATTTAATTTTAAGATTATTAATGGATTAATATAATTTTTAGAAAATTTTATTAATTTTCGACAATATTTTTAATTGCTAAGAAAAGTCAAAAAGAAAAATTCTGAATTGAAAATTAATGAGAGAATTTTGTTTGAATCGGGTTTCATCTATGTCACGAGTTATCCGAAACCCGATATGAGAAAGTTTCGAAACCCCGACCTGACATTTTTCTCAACCCATATTATCGCTGTTATAGTCAGTGATGAAGTTCCAGTTCCTGCTCTGTTACACCGTGGAACCGGCAAAGGTCCGGAACCGATTCCAAAGGTTCACCCCTAATGTTGGGTAAAAGAAAAAGAAGTGGGAGTCGTGAGAATAATAAAAAATTTTGGAACTTTTGCATCACTGGTTTTATACGTTCACCGTGATACCACCCCAAAAAATTATTAAGGACGAAAAAATTTCAACAAAAATCCCCCTCAAACATAAAAAACAAACATTTTCGGACAATTCCCTAATTTGTTCTTCATTAAAGGGAATTGTAGTATTTAAAATTAAATTAATTTTTTGACGAATATCCTCTGGGCGGTGCTTTTCTGCTTCCAAAAATTCTTTTGTTTCGTTAATTTGTTTTAATAAATCATTGCGTGTTGTGTTGATACGTTCAGCCTATTTAAATTAATTAATATTTTTATCTGATATTTTCAGAATTATTATTAAAATTCTGAAGCTATAAAGAATTTTTAATTAAATTAAATCAGAATAATAATTCATCTTAATTCTGATTAGAATATAAATTCTGGTTTAAAAAGGGAAAGGAATAAAACAGAATTTACTCAGAAAAGGAAATATATGTAATTCTGATAAATTAAAATAATAATTCTGATTAACAATTTGAATTAATCAGAATATGTAGTGTAGTATAAAAAGTTATGTACTACAAATCCGGGGTGTGCCAGAATTTGGCTAATTTGGCCTTTCAAAAATTCTCAAATCTTTCGCCTGCGGCGCTGAAAAAGGAAGAAAGAACCTTTTCATAAGTTTATCCCACAATAGTCCCCTAGATCCTCTATATGCTACGAATCCACCATCACTCAAATCCTCCATATCCCTCGAAAATTACCCAAATACTTTGATGCCCCTCTTAATCCACCCAAATCCCAAAACGAAAATCCACTAAAATTCGACTTCTATTCTAAGAAAATGATTTGAAAGCGAGGTACTAACTTAGGAATTCGCGTTTCGCTTTTTAAAATGTGTTTCGGCACTCCCCTGCTACAAATGTATTTCATCTAGATTAATCAGTAACTAAATACTAGTACCTCTTGTTTTGCCTTATCCAAAGCTTTCTCAGTTAGTTGTCGTGCTTCTTGTGTTTTGGGAAGAATTTCTCGTATATTTTTTAATATCTACATATAATTTATTTTTTTAAATTATTTATTTATTTAACCTCCTCAGCATCTTTCCTTTTTGCCTGAACTTTTTCCTTTGCTTCGTTCGCAAATTCCTGAGCCTGTGCAGCTTTAGATACAGATCCCGGACAAGAACTACCACCTCCACATTGAGAACATTTTGGCCCAGGCCCACCACAAATGGGATCACAAGGGGCTGTTTCGGCACCACAAACTTCCAAATTGAGTGAGGATAATGAAGAACCGATTGTTGTTATCTAAGAGGAGGGAAATTTTTATGAATTTGTTTTTCTTAGAAGTTGCTATCTACAAAGGATAAAAGCGACTATAGATTTGGAAGAAGTACTATGGTGAACTATAACGTATATGCTCGAATAATTACCCTGAGTAATTATTATTTCACCTCTCACTGGAGAGGGTAATTATTCAAGAGGATGAGCTAAATTTGGAATACATATATCTCAATAAATCGAGGAGAAACTGATTTATTTTTTTATATTTATTAATAAACTATTTCAATAATTTCTTAAATATATTTAAGATTTGTGTAAGAAAATGAGGGGGTAATTAGTAATTATTAAAGAGGGTAATTTTTTGAGCATATACGGTAGTGTATTTTAAAAATGATTTCAAAAATTAAAGTTGAAAATTCGTTGAAAATGGCTTATAATTTAAAAGGTACTCCTTTGATATCCCACGAAAACCTCCCAAAATCTCCAAATTAATTAAATACCGTCTGGCTAATTTCAGATAATCTAGCTTTGTTTTCATCATATTGTCTATCAAAGTCCCGTTTATGTTCATTCAATAATTGCTCAGCTTTTAGGCGATCAGTTTCTGATTGGCTAATAATTTCTAATTGTTGTCCAATACGCCTTTCTGCATCAGCTGAACTTCGACTGCTTTCTTCAAGTATTTCTGAAGCTCCCTTTGTATCCCCCCTTCTAATAATTTCAGCTTTAGCAGTTAAATTATCCGCCAATTGAGTTATTTGTCTAGTACTTTCATTTAATACGCGAATATCTTCTTCCATTAAATTAACTTCAGTGCTAACTTTAGTTACTCTTTGATTTTTTTCACTTAATAAATCCCTAGTTGAATCAATTTGTTTTTGTAAGGTTTGCATTTGTTGACGGAGATTGTCCAAATCTTCCTAAAAAATTATGACTATTGAGAGAAATTTCTTCTCACAACCTTTGTTATGTTAACAACTTCCAGTTGACGTTTTACTTCTTCTATTTGTTTCTCCATTTGGATAAAACTTTCATCATATTCGGAAGATATGCCTTAAAATTTAAGAGATATAATATAACAAAATTTTAGGTTTAGTTAAGAGTACGATAATAAAACAAATAAATTTGTTATTAAATAGGTGATATTTTTCGATTCAAATTTTTCAAATTAATGAAAATGCAAGCCTTATTAAAGGTAATATTATCTAACAAGAAAAGGTTGCGAGGTGTCCGACCTAAAAACGGTCGAGACCGGGCTCATTCGATAGAGAATGTGCACTTTATAGCCGGATTTTGCCAAATTATGGGAATTTGGAGGGCCATATCTTGGCCAGATCAAAAAACGCGCAAAAACGACACAAAATCATTGCTAGAAAGAGCACATTCTCTATCGAATTAGACCGCAAGTATTATTATTACTAGAGCCCGGATTTTTATGCATTAAAAAATGCAAAATATGCACTATAATATGCATAAAAAATTGCCAAAATATGCACGAAAATATGCAAGTAAACCAAAATATACACGCATATATGCATGAAAAATACCATTTATACCTAAAAATTTTACATATTTTTAGTCAAAATGATTTAAAAACCCATTTTTTATTAAGATTTCTCCTATTTTAAATGTATAGTTCGACAAATTGAGCATTTTTACGCTGTTGGGCATTTTGAGATGAGGTATTTTGGTGGTGGGACATTTTGGGGTGCGACATTTTGGGGCTGAGACATTATGGGGGTGGGCCATTTTCTGGCGAAACCAATAAACACAAAAATTTTTTTACAAAATTTGTAATTTTTACAAATTTTTTCCTAAATTTTTACTAAATTTTCACTTTTTGGCAGGATTTTAGGCAATTTTCGCAATATTTTCCCCAAAAACCTCAAAATATGCAGTAAAATATGCATTATGCAACAAAGTCCGGAATATGCAAAAATATGCATTATATGCAAATAGAAACCCCCTCTAAAGTTTTCAAAACTTGCGGAAACCGTGTTTTTTGTGCATAACACATCATGAAAAGTTTGCAAAAAAAAATATGCATTTGCATAAAAATCCGGGCTCTAATTATTACTATTATTATTATCTAATAATAAATATTAATTATTATTATTATCTAATAATATTATTATAACATTATCCTTATCTACCCCCTACTCACCTGTATCTTCAATATTCAAAGCCCTCTCAACAAGTCTTTCCAAATCAACTCGTAATCCTTGTAAAATAGAATCCCAATTGTCAAAGCATTCACCACAAGCTTGACAATGTGGCCATTGACCAGTATAACCCCGAGCACATTCATTACATTTTGGGCCACCACTCCCTGGCTTGCAGATGCAAGTTCCATTTTGTCTATGGCATTGAAGTGTTGTAGAGCCGTAGGGATCGCATTCACACCGCTGGCATTCACCATGAACAGGATCGCCTTAAAAATATTTGAATTAAACTCTACAAGATATTAAATACCCCAATACAAATCTTGACAATCAGAGCAAGTTCTTCCACCACGTCCAGGCTTACAATGGCATTGGCCATCGATATCGTTACATTTCAGGAAGGGTTCTTGTGTGTTAGGATCGACGATCACACCATTAGTGTCACAATTACATGCGGAACAACCTTAAAAATGTACAAGTTCGATCCTTAATATTAGGTATTAAGACCTCGTCCACTAGCCAAATCATAATGTAAAGGTGCACATTGATCACATTGAAGCCCAACAACATTAGGGAAGCAAGGGCATTGCCCAGTAACACGATCACATGACCCGGCACTTGAATTAGTCCCTAAATGATTGCAAACACAACGGACACAAGTACGGCTCCGAGCATCTCCAAAGAATCCCTCAAGACAGTGTTGGCATTGATCACCTCCAGTATTGTGAAGACATTTGAGACAGTCCCCAGTCATTTGATCACAGCTATTTGGAACCTGGGCTCAAAATATAATAATTTCTTGGGTTTTAAATTGCTCACATTAAAATCTATATTATCGTGGCAATGACATTTTTCACAAGATCCTGCAATTTCTCGTGGATTTCCCCAAAAGTTGACCTGACATTGGTCGCAATATTGGCCAATATAGCCATGTTTGCAGTTACAGACAACTGATTGATTCTGTGGTGCAATATAACAAGTATCAGCATGTTGATATCCAGAGCCGGGGCCTCCTTTATAAAAGAATAAGATGAGTGAATCTAGGGACAGAATAATTACCAGGACATGGGCAAGGCTTGCAAGGAATGCCTACACCCAGTCTAGGATCTCCATAATATCCATCCACACAACGCTCACAATGAGCTCCGTCAGTAAGGTTACGACAATCCATGCAAGCACCGGTGCGTTGCTCACAAATCGAAGCATGTCCATTGCACTGACATGTTCGGCATTCTGGGAAATTCCTGAGAATAAAGGTGATTAAATAATTCAGTTGAAAATTTTTCGATACCAAAATCCTGGTTGGCATTGGTCACATTGACGTCCGGTAATGCCTCGCTCACGGCATACACACTGTCCAGATTGTTTGTCGCATGCATTGGAAAGTGCACCGACCGAGTCACAATTACAAGGAGTACAGCCTGAAGGACCAAATCCATAAGTACCTGCAGCACAACGGTCACAACTGGAAAAATAATAAAAATTCAATTTTCCCATTTTTCAATCCTAACCGTCTCCCAACAACATTAGGTTTACATTCACACTGACCACCTTTAGCATTACAAATACCAGATGTAGATCCAGTTAAGTCACAATCACAACTAACAGCTTCCCCAACAATTGGACCATTCATTGGGCAAACAAGGTCAAGACAGGGAAGTGGCATTTGAGAGGCTGGGGTGCCAGAAAGGGATAAAGCACGGCATTGAAACCTTTACGACAAAAATTTTTGACAAAAAAATAATCCAACTACCGATCATAAATTTGTTTCCTATATTCATTCATTTCTGATCCTCTAAATAATTCTAAAGTATCAGTTTGAGGTGCAATTACAAGAGAGTCAATAAGAGCCTAGAAAGTAAATTGAAATTTTATTAAAATTTATTCAGTAAATGATTTCGATTATGGAGGTTAACCATTAGCATTAGAGAGCGAGGTTTTCAAAAAACCTTGATCCTTGCCCTTGATTTTAGATGAGGACCTTAACAAGATCAAGGATCTTAAGTCAAGGAAAAATCAAGGAACGCTGAAAAATGCCTTGATCTGGACTCTGGATCCGGGAAAAATCAAGGTCTGGATCCAGATCCAGCTCGCTCTCTTATTGGCATGAAACCGATCAGTCAGCGTATTAAGAAAACCTTATGGTGATCTTTGTAGGGAATTCTAAAAATTATTTTATTTTTATCATAAAGTGAGTCTATTCTATTTAAGTCTATTCCTACTCTATTCCTATGAGTCTATTGCTATAGTTACTCTAAAAAGAAAACGGCCAGAATGAGGCCTAGATAATCAGAGGCTCGTCTAAATAAATTAAATACTTGTGCCTGTCTATCAGGATATCCCGATCGTTTTTCACCAAAATTAAGACGAATTTCATAGCGAACACCAGCTTCTAGACAGACCGCAGGCATTATTTCTGTGAATTTACTTCTACTGGGAAGTCTAAAAATAATTCTTTATTTGAATATTTAAATAAATTTATTCAAAACCGAGCAATTAGAAAATCATCTGATGGAATAATATTTGCACAAACTCCATCTGGACTGGGATCCCCTGGACGAACAATTGTTAGACTAACATCCTCCCATCCAATAGGATCTAACAAATTTTAATTTTTTTAAAATTAATTTTTTTAGTAGAAACCATTAGGGTCAAGTAATTCATAACGTATAACAAAATTATAATGTCCAGTCTTTTGCAATCCTTCCACAAAAAAGCTGAGATTTGTATTCTCATGAACTCTAACAAATCCTTCCCCAGTCCAAGTCCATGGACGATCTACTGAATATTCTCTTGGAACTTGCTCAGCATTTGATGGTAAAATGCTGAATTCAGCCTGTTTAAGGAAATAAAAATTATTGAGAGATTTAAAAAATTTGAATTGTTAAGGGATTTAATAATTTTGAACTGATTGACTTAATTTTTGTTTTATTCTCTTAATTATTTTTGAATATTCTGATTTAATTTTCGTTAATTTTTATTTAATTATGGGCTAAACTGAAGTAAACCAACGTTTTTTAGATTTGAACAATTTATGTGTCATTCGAAAGAGCTCGCTGAGCTGGACCGAATGACACCAAAACTAGTCCGCGGACTCAGCTTTGGGCTGAGATGTCCCCAAAAATCGAAAAATCATAGGGGGGATCTAGCAGTTTTTTGGGGGTGAAAAGCAGTCCTGCCTAATTCTGCTATGTAAAAAGTCATTAGTTTTAAATTCTATATTTTATTAGTTAAGGTATTCCAAAATTAATTCTGATTTTAATTTAGTTCTGATAAAAAATAATTTATATTAAAAGCATCTTTTAAATCAAAACTATTTAATTTTTAAAAATATTTTTTAAAAATTACTTCAAAAGTATATTTATCAATAAATGGACAGAAATATCCACTTTCTGTTGTATTACAGCGTCTCCCACTATAATTTGGCCTGCAACGGCACATACCCTCAGCACTATCGCAGTGATTGTCATAAGCCCCACCAGGATCGCAATCACTTGAAAATATTTTTTAAATTATATCGTTGATTTAAAATATTTTCATATCAAAAATTATATTTTACAAGAATTATGTCTGGGAATAATTTTTAAAAATTTCTACCAAGGCTTGCATCCATTAGGATCATCAACACTTAGTCCATAATGTTCTTGAAGACAATGGTCACATTGTTCTCCCATTACAAGAGCTTTACATGTACACTTTCCCGTCACTTTGTCACAACCTTCGTTCCCATAAGTACCGATTAGATTACAAGAACAGGGCCGACAACCATCAGGATCTTCTTTTCTCATTTCCCAAAATCCATTTTTACATCGATCACAACTTTAGATAATTATTTATTATTTTGCCTAAGTTTTAAACTCTACTTTGGTCCATCAACATTGCTTTTGCAATAACATTTCCCTGCAACCAATCCACGCTCAGGATCTTCTTCAGTCTCACAAATTCCATCGTATTTAGAACCACTGCGATCACATTGGCAGGGTCTGCAGACATATGGATCTCGAATGGATCTAAAAATATATTATATACCTATTTAATATTTATTTTGGCTATATGTCCATATTATTATCCAAATTTTCTTAAAAATCGCCTATAACAATCACAACATTACTACTTTTTTCACAATTTCTACCTTTGAGGATCTCGATAAAAATTAGGTTTGCATTGCTCGCAATTTTTCCCCATTGTGTTATGTTGACAATCATCACAAACACCTCCAGAAGAAAATCCAGAAGCATTATAGACAGCCCAATCAAAATGGCAACGAGTAGCATGATCATTACATTCACATCTTTTACATTCATTTGATTGATCTCCAATGCCCGGTCTCCATGGGGAATCGTTGTAAAAGTCTTCGCAGTCATCACAATTCATTCCTTTCGTGTTATGAGTACATTCACATTTTCCATGCACCATGTCTGGTAATCTTAAAGGTTAAAGATTGGAAGTGTTTAAATTGATAAAATATTTGATGAAAAACTAAAAATAATTTTTGGTACTTTTTGGTTATTTCCCACCATTATTATTTTTACCAAATTTGATCAGCTATAACGTTTTTTAAAACTTAATCCAATCCGAATGAATTTCATATCATTCAAAAGCCCTCGATAATCGCTATCTTTTACACAACTCGATGGATCAATTTGGAGCACCCATGAAAAAGTTACAAGATGATAATTGTGAAAAACTACGATTTCTTGGACTTATCGACTTATAACCTTTTCATGAGTGATCAGACTTGATCCATCCATTTGGGTAAAAGAAGCGCTTATCGAGGGCTTTTGAATGATATGAGTTTAATTTGGATAAGATCAAGCATAAAAAAGTTATAGCAAATCAAGTTCGTTAGAAAGGAAAATGGTGGGAGTAATTTTTAAAATAAAGATTCTGAATAAGTAAAGCTGACAGAATAGATCATAAATACTTAACAGACCTAGTCTAAATATCCTAGAAAATTATTTTAATTACTTCGCAGTTAATATTGTTTCATCACCAACAGGAACACAACGTTGAGCATGTCCATAACAGGAGCAAGATCCTCTTACAACTATTTCATAAACGGCATACCTTTTTTAATTTAATTATTTTTATCAAAAAATTGGATTATTCACCAATATTTCTCATCAATTTCAGGTCTATAATCCAATAAATTATCTCCAAGAGAATGCAATCTTGTAAAATTAATTCTTAAATTTGTAATTTTAAGAAGTTCTGCGATATCAGGCGCATAGGGGTCTTCTGTTCGGATATGTGGAGAAACTACTTTGTACACTAACTAAAATTTTAAATTTATGGAAGTTTAAAGAATTAATATTTTTAATTAAAATATAGTGAGATCCAGCTAATAATATATCTCCCAAAAAGGATTTAAGAAGTTTAAAATATTACGAATCTTCCTATGTCTATTGAAAAATAAGTTTGAGATTTGGAATCAGGATGGGATTATATATAAAATAGGGGACACGACCGGTCTTAAAACTGGAATTTTTGAAAAATTTTTTTTATAAAATTCTAAAAACCGAAAACCGAAATTTTTTGAAATTGAGTGCTTTTTTAGAAAAAAATCGGGGTCACTTTAGTACGTGGGTGCAGGCTTTAAATTACAAATGTTATATCATTTCAAAGAGCTAGTCGAGCTGAGTCGAATGCCACCAAAATTAGCTCTAGGAAAAATTTTTGAACCGAGATACAGGCGATTGAAAATCGAAAAACCATAGAGGGGACCAAGCACTTTTTTGGGGTGAAAAATTCGAAAATGCAAATTATACCTCATTCGAAAGAGCTCGTCGAGCTGAGTCGAATGACACCAAAATCAACGAAATCCGACTTGATTGGACCGAGATATAGACCCCTAAAAATCGAAGATCCAAAAGGGCGATTTTTAGAATAAAAATTTTTTTATACAAATAATACCTCATTCGAAAGAGCTCGACGAGCTGAGTCAAATGACACCAAAATCACCGTGATTGAACAAGATTAGACAAAGTTATGAAACAAAAAACAAAAAAAACCTAAACCTATGGAGCGTCGGCGAGGCGCTTGTGCAAAACCCCGCGCTTCGCGCGGGGTTTTGCGGCACGCGCCTCGCGGGGAGTCTACGGGCTCTGGGTCTGGGCTCGTAACATAAACCTATTCCTAAATCCCTTGCTCTGGACGTATTTGGGGCCTCCGTAGCATCAAAAATTTCAACAGATGCCATAGGTAAGGAGCTAAAATAAAAGATCATAACTTTGTCCAATCAAGTCGGATTTCGTTGATTTTGGTGGCATTCGACTCAGCTCGACTAGCTCTTTCAAATGATATAACATTTGTAATTTAAAGCCTGCACCCACGTACTAAAGTACAGCCAAAAAATCTCCCAAAATAAAACCAGTATTTAACTACAACTCAACACCTGAACCAGGTCTTTGAGATTTGAATTAAACGAAAACCGGCGGTAACGGTTAATAATCGTTAGTGTCCAACCCTCGTTATAACCATGAGGATTACAACGTGGCAGTTCGAAAGATAGTGTATAATCTTGTTTGGAATATTCCCAGTAATGCTATAATATGTAACGAGATTCAACAGTATATACTCGTAATTAAAATAAATTTAATTTTTAAGTAGAAATTTTAATACAAAACAAATTTGTATTCAGTACCTCCCCACCAGTAGAAGGAGCAACATCGCTGTATTTTTTGGTGCAAATCACATCTTTGTGATTACGGGGTGGGCCCTCTTTTACACTAAAAAATTTCAATTTATTTTTTAAACAAATTGAGAATTTACTCAGGAAAAGATGATGCACAATCATAAGCAAAATAACGATAAGTGGACCTTTAAATTAAAAATAATTCTTCAATCATTTATTTCTACCAAGTCTTTCCAAAATCTTTGGATCGTTCAATAAACATAGCTGCCGGGCGGAATGAACGAAAAACCATAATTAAATGAGTAAAGTGAAATTCTGCCTCCAAATCCAAACGAATGGAAACATTCTTTTAAATTTTTAATTAAAATTATTTTTAAAAATAATTTTATTAACACCTGAACCCCATTCTCTGATTGCCACCAGTTTTGAGTTCTGTCCCCATAATTTTCTTTAACTACATTCTCAATTCGGTGGCTTACATTTCCAGGTTGTTCATAAGACCAGGGTTGCCTTGAATCACATTTAAAACATTTTTCAGGGTTTTCCAAATGAGAGACAATACAGTAACGTCCAGGTCTATGAAGACCTAGGGAAATTTATTTTAAGAAACATTTTTTAGAACTATTTTAATTTTGTCATATTTCAGCGAATATTTAATCAATTTAAGGATAACCCTTGATGAATAGAAACGTTCTGACTTAATAAAAGTTGAACTTTTTTGCTGAAAATAATCCAATTCTCGAGCCTCGTATTTTTTGTATTTTCAGTAATTTATTATAAATATAACTCTTCGGTTCTAAACCGAACCGAAGAACCGTGAATCTTTCGGTTCGCTTCTTCAGTTAGGTTTCGGATATCCGAAGAGTTTCCAGGAACCGACAACCCTCAATATAACAAAACTAGGTATCGAATTTAGCCAAGAATATGTAGAAGGGGAATTATAAAAAGTTTTTTTCTTAATCCTTATGTAGAAATAAAAATATTTTTGTTAAATACATCAAAATTTATATTTAACCCCAATTTTATTTCTTTAAAAAATTAAAATTAAAAATTAAAGTACCACAAGTGGATGTGGCAGAAAGTTGATGTTTTCGACCTATTAATAAATTCCCTGTTGCGGGGAAACAACTTCTGTCAGTACATAAATCTGCTAAAAAATTAAAGAAAGAAAGAAATTTTGCAAAAAATATTTAAGCACCTTCTTCTTCAAATCCATATAGGTTGTTAAGAAGAAATGAAGTTGAAATTAAATAAATAAGAAAATAACTTAATAAATTAATTTTCATCTAGATAAAATTTTAAAAAATATGTAAACAAATAAAATTAAACATAAGTTTTAATTTAAAAATACGAGAAAATTGAGTTTAAAAGGATGAAAAATAAAATAATAAATTTAATTAAAAATAATTAAAATACGTAAAATCAGAACTAATTTACCGTAAATCTTATAATAGAATAAAAATTTATGAGTTCAAGGGTACAAGTTTTTTTGAAATCCATAAGATCGGGGCTTGTTCTTTTTAGCTCAAAAGATGAAAATTTTCGAAGGGAAAAAATTTATGAAGCTGGCTGGTTAGATAGAAATTATATGGAAATTTATGAATTCAATTGAAATTTAATTTTTGTTTTTTTATGTCGGGTAAAAATTTTATTTGAAAAATAGATAGAAAAATAAAAGTACAGTTCTAATGTAAGCATACCCTACGAGGGGATCGAAAAATAGAAGCACTGTGCTTCAATTACAAGATTTTCAATAAAAAAAATAATTAAAAAAATAACCTAATAAAATTCAGAATAAATTTGTAATTAATTAAACAAAAAAAACAGAATTAGAACATTAAAAATCAGAAATTAAAATTATTTGTAATAAAATCAGAACACTTAAAAAAGGAACAATTAATAAATATAAAATCAGAAAAAGTGTTATCTGATTATAACAAAATCAGAATTTATATTAATAAAATCAGAATTTTAATAAAAAATAAAAATAAATTTGTAATTGTTATTTACAAAAGAAAAATATTTTTTAATTCTAATTAATTTTTTATGATTTCTAAAATGTTTTTTAAAGTAATTTAATATAAAAAAGAAAAGGAAGGAAAAAGCATTAAAACATTGGCAGGTGTTTTGAAAAATTTTAAAATAACTGTTGTATTTAATAAGGCAGAATTCCAAAAAAATATTTATTCATTTTAAGGCCTGTAAAAGACGAAAAAATTGATTTAATTAAATAGTTGTACGTAATGGGTAATGGGTATTTTGTTATTTTCAGGGATATTCGGCTGTTATTTTAAATTACGTATAATTCGAATCCAATAAGTATTTAACTGAATAATATACCCATTTATTTTGAATATCTTAATTACTAGTAATTTCAAATAATTATGCCCATTTATTAATTAACCCCTCAAGCGAGAGATTAAAACAATAATTACCCAGCGTATTTAGTAAATATATAAAGTACATATTTTCGGAAAAATATTTGATAATTAATAATAATAATTTAATTATTAGAAATATTTACTTCTAAAATTTAAAAAAAATTAAAGAAGTTAACTAAAAAATAATAATTGATGTTTAAATTTTGGGTAGTAATTAAGAAATAAATTTAATTATTATAAAATTACAAAGTTTAGATCGGATTTAAAATGGGTAGCTATAATTTATTTTTTATTTTTAAAATTCTCGTTACCTATTTTGAGCTATTATTAACAAATTCAGTTCAAAAAATATTTATTTTTTCAATGTTTGAACAGTTATAAAATAAATATATAGACAGAAAAGCAGCAGAATTTTTAACGTTGATAGAAACAACGATTCATCCTTTCTTCGCTTTCTCACAACAGACACTTGGTCATCTTAAGAAGGAAAAAAAATATATTATAGATTGGCCTATGGCCTAACTTCGTTGCAGATGGTATAAATTGATTGCTGGGGAAGAATAGGGGAAAAATGTGGTGGTGGAATGTAAAGCAAAATTTATTATACTAAATATTAAAGCAATGTTTAAAAAATGGTTTGGAATATAAGTTGGTTGAGAAAAATATAATTAAAAGAAAATGGGGAAAGTTTAATAAATAATTATAAAATTAAATTTTATTAAATAATCGATTTGTAGTAATTTTTAAAAATTTTTAAACTATAGAAGATTAGTACTTATTCCCTCCCCCCCAGTCCGCGTTTTTGTTGAATGTACGAAATGGTCAGTCATTTCTTCCTTGCATAATTTAACAAATTAGCCGGTGCCGCGTAAAGGGGGCAGTCTACATACCAAATTTTAAAACTTTTAAAATAGAGTGCAATTTGAATGAACTTATTGTGTGGGTTTATAAATCTTTTAACGATTTTTATATTTAGGCAATAAACTTTTTAAAATGTTTTAATTGTTTAACTTTAAGCTGTTCGTTGGAAAATAAAATGAAGCACCAAAAAAATAAAAGATTTATTGTTGTTTAAAATATTAAACTATAAAAATGAAAAAAAAACTTAAAATTCACAAAAAATTAGGAAAATATTAAAAAATAAAATCTGTCCCACCAACAAGCTGTCTTGAATAAAAAAAATCTTCGAAAGTCGAAAAATTTAAGAATATCGAAATTGAAAATCGAAAAAAGAAATGAATTTGCAGGTATCTGGAGAGTATGTATGTTGATGGGTATTTAACATAGTTTGGGTCTGGAATCGAAAAGTTTTTGAAGTTCCGTGGCCGATTTCTTCCTTTTTAATGGCACATAGTCTAATTTATCAAAAATTTCGAAAATCGAAAAAAACCCTCGACCCCCTCCCCGTATTTCTTGTCTTATCTGTTGAAGTATTAGGTGAATGTTTTGAACGCACTATTGTAATTAAGGTTGCCGGTCCTGTCCGTTCCGAAAGATAGAGTCGGCATCGTATTTTGGCCCGAAAATGAACTCGGTCGGACCGGCCCGAAAAAATGACTTCGGACCGACTCGAAAACGGCAACACTAATTGTAATACATATCCCTAATTATTAAATATAAAATAAAAATAATAAAATTAAATAAACTATTTAGAACAAACATGGGAGATGTTTTTTAAATAATATTTAGCAAAGCTGTGCGAAAACATTTCATCGAGGTCATTAAATCTAAAATCTATTCACATTGGCTAAACTTTTGCTTATCTCTTTACTATAATGATGAAAATAAATAAAGATTTTCTCTTATGACTTTCTTTTCTCTCCTAATGACCCTCGACCACAACATATACTAGTAACGGAAAACGACGCATCTTGCCCCCCCCCCCCCCAACAGCCGTTCCCAAACCTTTCCTAGTCAATAATAAATTGGTCTTTTTCTCTTTAAAATAATGGATAGACCAACATCTCATCCCATTACCCCAACTTTCTTTATGGCGCAGGGTTATTTTGGACGCAGAATTAAATAAAATTCCATTTTATTTCAAAAACCGAACGAATCAAAAAATCAAATATGTAGGTATAAATAAACTGGCGCAGGGTTATTTTCGAGATGTTGGGCCGAGTCTTAACTTGAGTCTTAATTAAATTCAAATTTACAAAATTTTCAATTTTACAATTTATATAGTTACAATTTAAAATTAAAATATAAATAACATAAATTTAAAAATTACATCGAACTTTACAAAATTTATCAGCTGAGAAAAAAAAACAAAACAAAGGAATGTTTACATAAAAATACATTCGTTATTTGTGTAATTTCAAAAATATTTGGTATACAATTAGGGATTAATTCGTTTTATAATTTTCCAAACAGCATTTTCACTTTTCAACAAATTTAACTGAAGCAGGTGGAAATTTCAGCCTAGGAACAAATCCAATATCAGTCAGAACTTTGTCATAATCCTCAATTGTTATTTTACGTTTTCCTAAAAATAAATGTTAATAATTTTTTAAAATTGTTTAAAAAGACAAAAAATATTTAAAATAAATTTAAAAAATATTTGTATAATACTTTGCCTAACAAAACCCTTTTTGTAACAATTTATATATACTTAGAAAGAGCTTTTCGAGCTGGCTCGAATGAAACTAAACTTAATGAAATCTGACTTAAACAAACATTTTTTAGGTACTTATTTAGTCCCCCTCCCCTCCCCCCCAGTCAATTTTTTTGGAAAATATGTAAAAATGGTCAGTCTGAACAAGAAATGTAGAACACATCGAGCTGTGTCGAATTACACCAAAGACACAAAAAAGTTAAATATGTATCTTGTTTGTTCTGTCAGTTTATATTCTGACAGTTTAAAACAGTTTATTTTGTCAATCAGCCAAAGTATCAGCAATAATTTTTTTAACATACCAGATCCAGTTAAAGAATTCGCTTTAAACAAACTACTATAGGTTGCTATATATACCTCGTCTTCTGGTAAAGTCTTATTATTTCGTTTCACCTTAAAATTTGGCAATTTTAATGAAAAATATTATTTATTAAAAGTTTTAACTAGTGTTCGGCGCGGTTCGGTATTACCGCCGTATTAACGAAATTCAATCGGAAATACCGAGAATATCCAAAATTATTAAAACTAGTCTCGATATATTTATAATTTTATCCCTCATATAAACTGCCAACCTCGTTCATTTTAGTTGTAGACGATAAAGAATTTAAAAAAATAAATATAGAAATTAATTTATAATTTTTGTACTAAATTAAAAATAATTTTAATGTAAATACTGAGAATACAGACACCCTTAATGACTATTATTTATCGGTACTTATCGGTTATACGCCCACAAAATGAGTTCCATCCAACATTGCTTGGCTATAACTTTTTTGAGCTTGATATGTACAATTCAAATAAATCTTTTATCATTCGAAAGCCCTTGATAAGAGGTAACTTTTTTTCATAGGATAGATCAAGTCTGATCACTCATTTAAAAGTTATGACACAATAAGTCCAGTTATTTGGTGTTTTCCTCATTTATCGGGGTGGGTGTATAACCGATAAGTACCTATTTATTTTAAATCCCACAAAGGAACTTCACTGTTATTTTTGAATTTTTTGCTACATATTATTAAATTAACTAGGATACACATTCAAAAAACTAAAACAAATTTAATAATAAATTAAAAATAAATTTATATACTATGAATGTAAGTTTATGTATAGTTGACCTACATATTATGTACATATTTTTAAATATTTTTTATTGAATGGGTCTGTTGTACTCGCTCATATACCTTCACTTTTATTAAGAAATTTGCCTAGTTAAAGCAAAAAAGTTAGGTATAGAGATGCTTTAAAAGAATTGGTAAAAGTTTACAGAAGAAGATTCATTTTGCTCCACTCGT